TCGACCGGCGCCGAGTCGCGTTTGGGACCTCAGCCCCCCAGTACGTTGATTCGCGTGCAGGTTCGATTTTCAGGCGTTCAACCGCGCGTAACCCCCTATGCTACAGCGAGCGAGAAACGCCCTCGGCTGGGCCACCACTGCAATCGCATACGAAAAGCTTTCGCATGTGGTTCAATAGCTCGGCGGGGATACGCCCACCTAAGGGATGGTGACAGCTCCCGCAGGTGGAGGTAAGCGGTGCCTCGCATGACCCTGTCCTGTCGTAGGGGCTCGCGAGAGGTACGGCTGGCGCACTCAACCGGAGCGGCTAAAACACTCTGCGACAAAGTCCTGCATAATCCTGCGTGACGCAGCCGGGAGGGTCCCCGTGTGGGACCGATGCGCACGACACCGCTATACAAACCTGTGCCAATGTATCCTCACTGCACAGAAGCATCTCGGCGCACCAAGTAACAATGTCACCGATGCCAGGTAAGCGACGATCACGAACCAGCTCCGATATCAAATTGCAAGGAATATGAGTGTGAATGATATACAAAAAAACAAGTTGCGAAATCACACAGATGTCCAAGTAGTCGTGTACAAGCAGAGAGCACAAATGCACCGAGAATCCATCCAAATAGAGCAATACAATGAAGCAATGAGCCAATGTTCAAGCCCTCAGGCCACACCGATACAGTATCCAATGTCGCTCTTCTCTGTTTGGCGCCCAACGCACTCTACTCGACTATCCTACCTACAACCGTATTCACGCAACAGGCTCGCTTCCACTCTCGAAGACCAATGTACATGATGTCAACACCATAGTCAACCTCGCTTCATGCACCACGTACGTATTTTGTCACCCTCATCAGACCTTGACCACCCACACTCTTGCCTCCTTCCTGAAGACCACCAGTCGCCCTCTTACCCCCTAGCGCCCAGCAGCCAAAGGGCAGTGCTGGTCATAACTATATTCCTGGGCATAGGGGTGTGCCGTTGATGCACACCTTAGACACCACTGCTTGATGATGCGAACAAGTACGTTGGATGCAGGGGAGGGAGATTTCAATTGATGCTCAAACTGTTAATCACACCCATACCCGTTGTTCATACATCTTCACACTTGATTTATTTTTATTTTTGATTAGTTTGTGGACAGACTGCTGACACCTAACAAACAACCTAGATTAGTACTATTGTTCTACCATAGACAGTTCTGATCGAAGCTGCTGTGAGTGAAACTAATCAAGGTAGGAATAGATCATGCGTACAGTTTGTGTGAATGCTGTTGATACCGCTTGAACAGTAGCCTAGGTGACTTATTGAATATTATTTCATTTTTATTTATTTTTCAACTCGGTCAGACACATGTTGTGGTCGGCCCCAACGAGGGCAGTAGTGTAGACAGTGTCTGCCTAGCTGATGAGTGGATCAGGCGGTGGTGAGGATAGATCTGAAGGAAGGAGGGTGACACGCCAGGAGTCCCTTAGGATTCCAATAGTACACCAAGCTTTATCCCCTGAGGGAGAGAGGATTTTGCGACAAGGAGCAGTAGCTAAACGCTTGCAGAGGGCTAGAGAAGTGGCAGTGGCAGCCGAGCAAGCGCTGGCAGCGGCAACAACCACTACAACATCTATGGCTACTTCTGCTGCTACTTCAGCTGCTATATCTAGTCATATGAGCGCAAGCATGCCGTAGAGTTTGCAGGCCACATCCATCACACTGGCAACAAGCAGTTCTTCCAGTCAGATGGCGGGCTCGCAGTACAACTCGCCACCTCCACGCACTAGAGCAGCCATCGAACTCCAGCAAGTGGAGTTCATCCGCTTACGGTTAGAGAAGGAACTTACAAAAGCTACTGAAAGAGAAAAAGCGATTAGAACTAGGAAAGCTAGACTAGAGAAGAGGAAGGCATTCAAACTTGTTGTAGAAGGGTTGGATGACGCCGTCATTGATGACAACACGAGGATTCTCAAGGCATGTCTCTTGTCCATGCATGCATACATGGACAGTAAACTGGATGCTATCCAGGACACCCTTGACCAGATACTGAGCACCATGCAAGGAATGGAAAGAGCTTTCCCATCTCAAACAGGTGGGTCCAGTTTCCGGCCTCCAGTTTTCCCATCGCCGGTTTCCTCACCGGTGATGACTAGTCCTACTATGTCTCAGTTTAGCAGTTCACCAAGCGCTACGTCAACAGCAGCAGCACAGACTGTTGCTTCTTTAACTTCTGGTTCAGCGACTAGTGCTACACAATAGCCAGACAACAGCAACCTTGGTACCCCAAGATTCCACTAAAGCCACCCTCAACCTTCTCAGGTGATAAGAAGGATGAGGCTCTTGACACTTGGTTGAGAACGGTTCCAGTGTGGGTCAGGGCAAAAAGGACGCTAGCAGAGTAAGAGGTGATCCCCGCCGCCTCGTATGTGGAGGGCTCGACAGCTCGATGGTTAGATGGATTAGTAGCCGCGGAAGGGTTTGGCAAGCGCATGAATGATTGGGCTAAGACCCATACTCTTGAGAGCTTCATGGAACCGCAGCAGGCCCAACAGACCACTGACGCATTGACCCGGCTTGATACTAAGAATTACAAGTCCGCGCATGAGCTTACCTCTGTCGTGGAGCGTCTCATTGTCGTCCCCGTCGTGCGGTATGATCCGCAGGTCCTCATGACCATGTATCTAAGATGTCTTCCCACAGACGTCAAGAACCTGCTGGTCAGTGAGGCCATCATTGAATATCACACTCTGGACTCTTTTAGCAAAAAGGCCCTAGACTTAGAGGCTAAGCTAGGGAGAGCCCAACAAACCCCTACAAATGGAACAAAGAAGAAGAGTCCACAAGAGTGGAAAAAGAAAGGTAGTCGATTGATGATGGTTGAAGGGAATCAAACTGAGATCGATGATCACTTCGACTTAGTAGACGACACAAAGTTTGCAGACAAGGATGGTGTTGAGGGTAGCAACCCCGCCTAGCTTGTTAAGGTTAAGGCAGGCGGTCACGGCAAGGGCGGTCAATCAAAGAGTCATAGGCAGACCCAGAACTCAAATCGGATACCAGCTTGGGTAAGGGTGGGTCTGGAACAAGATATGTGGCGAGACCGCTATTCGCAAGGGGCTTGCATCAACTGCAGTGAGTATGGCCACCAGCTGTTCAGATGCAAGAACGTGAAGGTATCGCATAAGATACCTCCCAAAGGTGGTTTTGGGAATTCTAGTTCCCATGGTGGTAGTGTATGAACACAGACACATCCAACGTGAAGTCAAGCATCACAGAGAGCCCAACACGACGGTCCATAGGGACCTACCGCTCATCAGTAGACCAATCCACGGCATGCTGGAGAGAGAGAGAGAGAGAGAGAGAGAGAGAGAGAGAGAGCTCGACGCAGAAGAAAAGGAGAAGAAGCACACTGCAACATGTCGAATACTCCCGAACGTGACCTGGCGAAAATTAAMAACGTCAAAGCGCAGTCATAGGAACCTGGACGCAMATGAGCAAYAGCTCCAATCGTCAAAACCGAGACCCAGGTTCTCCGGCGGGTGACCTGACATGTTTCGTCCGGCCGCCGGGACCGGACTCATCAGGGGTCTACGTCTCTACGTCACGATCACGATGAGTGACCTTCAACCAAAGCAGGTGCTATTTTATACAGACGCAGACCAGGGGAAGACGAGGACCAAAAGCATCACCCTTTCAACACACAGAGTCCCAACAGGGCCAGAAGACTGACTAAAGGGCTCAGAGTCCAACTCCAAGAAGCCAGAAACAAAAGGCCCGCCAACAGCCCTGTGACCCACCTTAAATCGACAACACACAACTATACTACACCCCGTGGGCCCCCCGCCCATATGGGCCAACAGGCCCCAAGAAAGAATTACCCTTATTCGGGAGAAAATAGTCCCATCCAGTTAAAACTTCGACCCAATCATCCCAAACTCCTCCAAACTTCGAAGAGAAACTAACCAAAGATCCGTCAAAAATTTCGTCCTTGAAACCCCTCAGGCCCAATTCCACCTTAAGGGCAAACAAAAAGGCCACTTCGGCTCCTGGGATGGACGTAAATCTCAAGGCCCAATGCAACAAAAATCCCACCACCGCCAACTTCTGTTGTTTGCTCACATAAGAACAATCATCCCACAGGTTCTGGAAACACACACCTTTCTCAAGAATCATTCGCTGGTTCTTGTGCACCGCAGCACATCTCACCCCAACGGGCCAGTCAAAAACTCAAACCACACATCCCAGGAAATCCCAGCTCGAAGAAGTGCTAGTACACTCCAAAGTGAGGTTGGAGTCATAGGAGTTAGCGAAAACCTTCAAGATGCCACGGGCCTTATCCAAGGAGGCCTTATCATCCTTCTTAAACCTCACCATCAGGGAAACATCATCGATTAACCAAATACCATGCACCAGACTCCTGTCCTTTCCCAAGGAAGATAAGAAGGAAAACTCAGAAAAGGCACACAACAGGCACGCAATGGCCGGACTAGAGGGCTTACCCATCCGTATACCAATTATCTGTTGCAACAGCCGACCACTAGCAGAGGTAAAGGTATGCCACAAATCAAATATCACGAATTCCCTGATGGTGTCACACCAAATGGTCTCCCAACCTTCCTTCTTGCTGGTTCTTAGCAGCTTAACACCCTTGCCCATCTTTTTGATAGACACACCCTCAACCTCACGCAGGCGCCAGAAGTCAATTATCCAGTCAACTGCCTTGACAATAGATGCGTGAGGCAGGTTACAAAACATTTCCTTTACGTCAAAGGCAGCGGTCAACAAGGCCTCACCCTTCCTCAAATCTTTGTTGACCGAATTGAGAGAATAAACCAACAAATTTGTACTCTTCAAATTAAAATTCGAGCGCTTCGACAATTCCCATACCAGCAAATTAACGGCGCAAGCAATCTTTCGACAAGCCCTCACACTACATTCCGAGAAGGAGGGACAAATCGGACGCCATCTGTTCACGTCCTTGTGCTTTGGTATAACGTATGCCCTTCCAAACTTACCCCTGATATCCCAGCGTGCCAACCGATCAAAGTTCCTTTCCAAATACGCCGCCCTGGTAGCGGCTAACAACGATTCCTCACTCTCATCACATTCGACAAAGCCATCGTTATCCAAGAACAACTGTCTCATGCCCTCCGAATACTTAACAGGGCAACAAACCAATGTGTCCCCCGGGTTATGGTCAATCGGGGTTCGAACCAATCCTTCAACCTTCTTAGTCCAAGTAATCACCTCATCCTCATTGCACACACCTAGATCACCTCTCCAGACCTCATTCATGCATACCGCAAGATCACCACGTCTAACCTCCGGGACCTTAAACCCAAGGTCTGGGAAGGAACTCGAAATCTGAGCCCTCAACCTCCCCACTACATCGCGTCGAGAGGGACGGACCACATTCCGATTATTACGAATACATACTGGAGCATCCTTCACATCATTCAAACGGAAACATACATGGCCGCCCACCCGCTGAAACCCATGGCCAAACGATTCACAAGTACAAACTAATTCCTCCTTCCTTGCCGCCGTTCTGAAATTGAAAAGCAAATCCCCCACACTCTGATTCTTTAACCAAACAATCCTCATCCGGCGCACTGTCATTCGTTTCCACTCGTCATCGCCATCAGCCATCATAATCAGTTTGGCACAAAGGGAACGCAAGGCAGGCTTACTAATCCCAACATCATACGTGGCTCGTACAATCAAACGTTGCCTGACATTCACATGGAAGCGCTTCCTGATCACACCCGAAATAATAAGCCACAGACGACACCGAGAACACTTTTCAGAAAAGGCCCGAACAGCAGTGAAGGCTCTAACCAATACAGCAAAATCCCAGCCCATCAATTCCTTACGAGAGGGGGGATCAGAAAGCAAGGCGGACAAGGTCAGTTTCAGGATCAAAGCTCGCGACAAGAAGGGCACAATCGCAGACACCAACAGACGGTGCCCCGGAGGAAACAGATCTTTCCCTTTCCTTAGCAGTGACGTGCCCGCATTCGAATGGATCAGCGAGGAGCCAAACTTCCGTTTAATAACTTTCCAATTTTCCACAAAACGTTCCCCCCCGACACAAGCAATCCAAACAGAGGACACCCTAGAAGACACACAAGCATCTAGAATCATTGATAAGTGAGGCGACACAATCCCGATGGAAGAGCAAAAGAGCATGTGAGTGTGGCAATTCCGATAGGAACCCAACACAACCTCCTGGTGCGCCCTACGTCTCCTCTCATGTTTACCCAGACGCTAACGCTTAGGTTTCCCACTTTTATCACGAGAGTTCAGGTACGGGCACAACCAACGAATCACCCATTTCTCCATGTAAAGAACATCACCTTCACTACAGCGAAACAAGGGAAGAGCGACATATTGCCCAACACGACAACGCCTCAGCCATCCATTCAATTTGTGATTGCGCCTACCACTGTTGACAACCCCCAAATTCAGTGCACGAGAAACATGTTCACTCCATCGTACGGGCAAGGATCGAGTGGTGGATCCTACATAAATGTGACGAGTCCAAGGAGAGATCAAAACGTAAACCAGAGGCCCCTCACAATCCTCAAACCCGGTTCCTTCACGCAACCAATCAGATAGACCCCTTCAATTGGTTTGCCCACGCAATCTCACCCCGAAGAATCAGATGGACCACCAGCAATTGAAAATAAGCATTAAACTCCCGATCTCGTAAGAAGAGGTCCGAGGAACCATCGGCAGACGAAGAAGAGGAAAAGGAGGAAAGGAGAAGGGAATTAGAAGAAGGGGGACCAAGAGGAGAATCCACAACAGACGGGAAAGAAGAGACATCCACGTCGGTCGAATTAGCCCCTGAGACAGAAGAAAAGGCCGACAAAGTAGAAACAGCACAACGCTTAACACGGCAATCGAAAGACAGCGACCATAACTTAGCCACGCTCGGGACGTCTCCTCAAAACTCAGCACTCTTCTCTTCCTCGACGTCAGAAGCATCAGTGCGAGCTCCCTCTTCCTCCTCCAAGATCTGCACCGAATCCGAAATCTGTTGCTTACCTTTTTCCCCAGGCTTCCCAAACAGTTTATGGCCCGGTATTCAGCTAATTTGTTGACCATGTCCGATACCTTCCCAAGCTTGATTCCCGCTTCCTTACAAAGTGGTTCGAGTCCAGCCTTCTTCAGAGTACGCAGCTTCTTCTTCTCACCCTCAACGAAGGAGAAACATTCATTTATGACCCGAGTTTCATCGGATTCAGAACGAAGGGTAACCCGGCCAGGCGTGGCCTTCATCCCTTTCTTAGCGGATCTCAACGCAACCGCCTCAAGACGCTCCTTCAAATTCGTACCGCCAGCAGCCGGTTC